AAATAAATTTCCATCATTGTAAGTTCTTGATCAAAATTATACCAACACATTTTCAAACTTACAAACAAGTCCCCTAATTTATAGGACTATTCAAATTCCACCTTGAAAATTTACCAAATTTATAATTTGGTTCCAATCAATTTTCTAACTTAAAATCCATCATTTCAATATTAAAAAATTAACATTGAACATCTAAATTTGTACATTTATGCAATATTGTCCCACAATTCTCAAAACTTGCTAAATAGCCCTTTTACTATTTCAAGCTTCCAAATTGATCTCTAAATCACATAGAACACTTCTAATATCAGTTCTAGACCATAGAAAAATTTTCAATATCCCCCCCAAATTTTCCCCTATGGCCGAATGCTTCATATTCTCTTGGGTAGAATCAATGTTCAATTTCAAGCATGAATTCAACTTCTTTACAATAAATTCATGCTATTCTATTAATCAAAACATCAAATTGCATCAAAACCCAATCTTTCCTTAAAACTCTAGCATGGTCGAATCAACTACAAGGCTTTACACATCATTTTAATTATCGCACATGCCTTAGAATTAATCTCCAACATCAAAAACGTAATAATCTTTCATCAATCCTTCAAAATCCATAAACCCTACATAAAACCTAATTCTCAATCTCATGAAATAGAAATGCTCACCATGTAATACCTATACCAAATGATCGAGAATTTCATGTAGATTAATTCTCTATATAATAGCTTAATCCAAAAATCAAGTATATAGCTTCAAAAATAAAAAATAAAAATTACCTTGGGAAGATATGGTGGATTCGACCAAGAGAGAGTTTGAAGTTGAAAATTTCTTTTTCTTGATTAATCTAGTATGATGTGATCATACACTTGGCTTAAAAATCTTGAATATTAAATTCAATTAATGAGAAATTCCATTTTTACCATTAATGAACCTTGATAATTACTAAATGCCATTACATTATCCTCCATTAAAATATTCCACAGTCAAAGATAAACCAATTTGACTTTGACTTTCTACTTTGGCCATGCAATTTTCAAAAATTATATTTTAGGCAATAAATTTCCAATGTTCGGCCAAATTTGAAAAAATTACACTATTCTGTACTAAATTTCTCTGATCTAAAATATGAAAATAATATTTCCAATCCTTATCTATCATCCTTCAAATTTTCGTAAAATTTTGATTTGATTGGACTATCCAAATTATATACCGAACTTTATCGCTTTATAGCTTTTAACACAAATCATGTACTGAAAATATGGTTACCACGAAAATTCTTGTTTTAGTCCAAACTGTTCATTTACGGGCTAAAATATATAATATTTCAAAATTACAATTTTGGTCCCTAAAATTTTACCAAGTGTATATTTTAGCCACCAAACTTTCAAATCTTACATTTTAGTCATTAACCAAAATTTGGGGTATTACACGAGGCTTTACACATCAAGCAAAGAAAGATAGCTTTTTTAAGAGACAAAGTTGTGGTATCTCCAACATGAACTATTTTAAGAAATCGTTCATTTATCATTCCCTTTTTATCAACATAACACACACACAAATCAATTTGTTCTTTTTGAGATACATTACTAAACTCGTCTACTAGTATCCAAAAACCATTATTACCAAGATCTTTCACAATTTTTTGGTAGTTTCTTTTGCACAACAATCTACAAGTTCTTTTTGAATTGAAGGTGCAATCATTTAATTATTTTTAGGTGCATTTTTTAGAACAAAATTTCCTATATCATCATTCTTTTCTACAATCCAATTCAAAAGTTCAAAAAAGTTCCCCTTATTATTTGATTCATCACATTCATCATGACCATGAAATATCAATCCTTGAAGCAAAAGGAATCTCAAATAATGAAGAGAAGTAGTCAAACGGATTCAGTAGTCACTTTTAACTTGCTCAGTTTGTTGGTTTAAAGAAGCTTTGAATGATGACTTAAAATTCTTTAGATTATCAAACTTTTGAAAAGCTTGATTATGAGCACTATCAATTTCATCAACATGTTTTCTAAACCGAACTAGCCTATTCTAACCTCTAAACCCATTAACAAAAAATCCATCCCCTCGTACAACTTTAGTAGTTTCATTCTTAAACAAGTAACAAACAAATCAAAATGCAACATTTTTTTGAAACACTATATTCAAGCCAAGAATACTTCTTAAACCAAGATTTATTAAAGCAATGCAATATGCTTCCCCCGAATTCTTTTTGAGGAAATTTGTGTTTCTTTGGTTGACAAGCACCTCTTTGTATGTATTCTTTCCTCATCGCTTCTCGATCCATTGAATGATAGCCAACAATTTTTTTCTTTTAGCTGGATCATGTGGTATAGAACTAGCATCAACTTGGCTCTCCATCTCCCTTGATGAAAATATTGTACTATCATCATGTGCAATATATGTCGATCCTATTTTGGTTTCTTGAGTTTGAGGCATATTATGTAAGGGGAAAGAAAATTCTTGCTCGGATTGAGTTGTTGAAGGTTGAGTTGGTGATGAGAAACAAGTTAGCACTTGGGAAGAACTTGCATCATTTTTTTAGACTTTTGAACAAACCAATCCAAAGTTCCATTCTTCTTTCTTGCAGGGTTAATTTTATCACCATTCATCTTCTCACTACTACAATTACAAAATTTACAAATTAAAATAATTATTAATTAGAATTTACAAATTAAAAATTTAATAGTCATATTTGTTATCAAAGAAGTAAAATCTTATTACTAATTAATCATTTTAATTGCTTCAACTTATAAATTAAAATATCCAAATTCCTTCAACTTAAACTAAACAAATTTAACATAAAATTATTTCTTAATCCCAAAAATATATATTCATAATTTTATGTATTTAAATTTAACATTAAAATATTCTTCACAAAATATTCTTGATTTTAACTCACAAAATAACTTAAATCTATTAAATTGAAGAATTTAAATTTAATCTCTTAATTTTAACTCACTAAAATTAAAAAAATAAAATTCAAGAATTTTAAAAAAATTAAATATAAATTTAACTAAATTTAAAAGAGTAATATAATAAGCAAAGAACCTAAGGAAAAGGAATGATAAACACTTTGCAAGCAGTTTGGCCTGAGAAATTTAATGGAAAAAACATTGGGTTACAGAAGACTCACCCACACCATCGATTAGGCTGTAGGGGCGGCCCTCGATGGTGTTCACAAAACACATACCTTTAGCTCTGGATCAACTCAAACTCTACCAGCTGTCCGCCCCTATATATATGCTAAAACAAAATAACAGAAATGATATCTATATACATTAAAATGCTCGAAATGGGGACTGTAAGTTCTACCCACATTCTCTACCTTAAACATTAAAATGTTTGAAAAGAGGAAAAGCTTATTCTAACTTGCCACTATGCCCTATACATGGTTGGCCTTGGCATACTTACCTGGAAAGAGACGACCATGACAATCTCCCCCACCTAATTTGTCGACGTCCTCATCGACTGCACTGCCTAAAACTCTTCGATCTTTTGCTTGAACGCCTGAGATCATACTTTCTTTCCCAAGTGTTCTCTTCCTGGTTAAGGCCTTCCCACTTGACTAGGTACTCCCGTCTTTGCTTTTCGCCCACCTTAACAATTCTTCTTGTAAGAATCTCGTCAATATGATGCTGTGAAGGTGGTTGCGTACCAATTGACTCATTGGTAGGCTGACTCTGATTAGCTACATTGGGATCGATATGAAACGGCTTCAAATTGCTCACATGGAAGACATGGTGAACTCTCATCCAAGTAGGAGGATCAACCTTGTACAAAGCATTCCCCACCTTTGCTACTATCGAGACTGGACCTTTATACTTGCGCACCAAGTGACGATCCCTCTGGCTCAAGAATCTAAGTTGCTATGGCATCCACTTGACTAGCACCAAATCTTCAACCTGAAAGTGTAGATCCCTTATATTACGATTTGCACATTTCTTCATACACTTCGCTGCTTTCTCCAAGTACAACTTGGTAATCTCCATATTCTACTTCCACTCCCTCACAAAATTTGAGGCACAAGGACATTTCCTTGAGAGGTCTCATCCACAGTATGAGGAAGTCTTGGCTGCTGATCTGTCAGCGGTTCAAAAAGGGCTTTTATTAGTAGATGAACTCTTTTGTGAATTGAAACATAACTACACCACATCCAATAATGGAGGCCAGTTCTTCTTATTAGCCTCAATGAAGTGCCTCGTGTACTCCTCTAAGAGCCCATTAAAGCGCTCAGTCTGCCCATCTATTTGAGGGTGGTAACTCGACGAAAAGTTGAGTTGTGTTCCCACTAACTGGAACAAACCCTTCCAGAACTTCCCAATAAATCTTCCATCTCTTTCACTAACTATGCTCTGAGGAATGCCCCAATATTTCACTATGTGTTTAAACACCAACCTAGCAGTCTCTTCTGTCGAACAATACTTCGATGTCGGTATAAAAGTGACGTACTTCGAGAACATGTCCACTACCACCATAATTGATCCAAGCTCTCCCACTCGAGGAAAACGTGATATAAAATCCAAGGAGATACTCTCCCAAGGTCGGGCAGGTACCAGTAGTGGTTCGAGTAACCCGGTTGTCCTCTGTCAATCTACCTTGTCTTGTTGAAAAATAAGACATGTCTTGGTGTAGTCCATCACATCTTGGCGCATTTGAGGCTAATAACACCCTTGTCTCAACAAAGCCAAAGTGCGCCTCCAATCAGGAAGCCCAGCCCATGGGGTATCATGACATTCCTTTAACAGCTTCTGTCGTAAATTCCCAACTTGAGGAACAAACATCTGTGGCCCTTTTTTTCATCAATAAGCCATTTTCTATCCAAAAATATTTCGAATGACCCTTCTTAACCATCTTCACGTGTTCCACCACTTGCGAATCTTTCTTGGAAAAATCCACAATAAGCTACCGAATTTCGTTAGACACTCTACTAGCAGATATGGGAGCCACACGTCGGAGTTCTGCTAAATCTGCCATGTGGCTCAATGCATCAACTACCTGATTCTTTTCCCCGCCCTATGCTCAAAGCTAAAATCAAACTCTGATAGAAACTCCTGCCATCTAGCTTGCTTTGTTGTCAACTTTGGTTGCATCAAAAAGTGGCTAATTGTTTTATTATATGTCTTTACCAAAAATTTAAATCCCAACAGATAATGTCTCCAAATCCTCAAACAATGAATTACTGCTAGAAGTTTTTTCTCCGGAGACGTATATCTCGTTTCAGTTTCATTTAGCTTCATACTTTCAAATGCCACGGGATGTTCGTCCTGTAAGAGTACCCCTCCAATTGCATAATCAGACGCGTCTGTCTCTACTTCTAGAGGTTTTTCAAGGTCCAACAAGGTAAACACTAGTTCATTGACAACCACATTCTTTAAATCATCAAAGGCCTCTTGAAAAATCCTTGAACCAAACCCACTCACACCCTTTCTTCAGCAAATCAATGAGTAATGTCACCCTACGAGAGTAACCTTCCACAAAACATTTGTAATAATTGGCCAAACCAAGGAAAAATCTAAGCTCACTAACATTTCGTGGGGTCGGCCACTCCTGGATAGCCTTCATCTTCTCCTTATCCATACGAATATGACCTTGCTCAATGACGTGGCCTAAAAATTAGATCTCTATCTGGGCGAAAGTACATTCCTCCTCCTTCACAAACAATTGATTTTCCCGCAATCTTGCTAGCACCAATCGAAGATGCTCCTGATGCTCTTCCATAGAAGTGCTAAAGATCATTATATCATCCAAGTAGATAACTACAAACTTATCGAGGTAGTCATGGAACACCTGGTTCATCAAAGTACAAAAAGTAGCAGGAGCATTGGTTAGACCAAAATGCATAACAAGAAATTCAAATGCCCCATACCGAGTTACACATGCCATTTTTGGCTCATCCCCTTTGGCCACTCTCACTTGATGGTATCTCGACTTGAGATCCAACTTCGTGAAATACTTAGTGTTACTCAGCTGGTCGAATAAATCTGTAATCAAAAGAATGGGGTATTTATTCCTGACAATCACTTTATTTAATGCCCTGTAATCCACACACAATCTCAAACTCCCATCGTGTTTTTTAAAAAACACAGGAGCCTCGAAAGGCGACTTCGAGGGTCGAATAAATCCTGCTTAGAGCAACCCATCTAATTGTTTCCTTAACTCTACCAGCTCTAGAGGACTCATCCGATACGGGCACTTCGCAGGGGGTTTTACGCCTGGGATTAATTCAATCTCATGGTCCACCGACCTTCTAGAAAAGAACTCTTTTGGCAATTCATCTGGAATTACATCCTTAAAGTCATTCAACAGTTCTTGAACATTCATGGGCACAATGCCAGAATTGATATCCTCTTTGGAAACTGGAAAGACCAAGAATGAAGGCTCTCCTTTTTTCACCCCTTTCTTAAATTGGATAGCGGACAATATCTTCTTCCCAGGACAAGGGATAATTGTAACAGATACCACATATAGTTACTCCCCATGAATATTAAACAACTTGATGCCGTGACAGGGATCACTTGAGCTACCATCATAAAATCGAGCCTTAAGACCACATCAAAATCATCAATGTGGGAAACAGTGGAATCTACACTTCTTTCCCAAGACCCAAGTTTGATATCGACCCTCTTCACGCCTCCACATATCTTGAAGTAGCTGAGTTAACCATTTTAATTTATCCCACCTCCTTGGTGACAATCAACCCACATCTCTTAGCTTCCTCTGGAGAGATAAATGTATTTGTGGCTCCCGTGTCGATTAGAGCTTTAGAGGTTTTTACCATTTATTGAGATGTCCACATATATCAATCCCCTCTCTGGCTCTTTCCTCAAGCTATTCAACTGAGATTGTAAGTTAGTTATAAATCGGATGAAGCTCATTCTAGCTGGGTCTGACTCGTTATCTCCTGTGGGACCGTTCACTCGTTCTCCGTCATTTGTTGATGCCACCATGGTATTAAAAGCACTTCATTGTGGACACTGTCCAACCCGATGAGGCCCATTAAAAAGAAAACACCTCAATAAGGTTTATTCCCCCTGTTGCTTGATCCAGTACCAGTAGGGACTCTATTTTAAGTTGGGTCCCTTCCAGGGAATCTTCTATTCGCTCCCCAACTCGTTATCTTCTTCCCTCGAGCCAACTTCTCCTACCCACTTGTTGGGTGTTAGCCCCACTCGTAGAAGGCGCCTTGAGCTTTCCAAGATTATCATTATAATCATTAAGGCACTTAGCAACAGCTATCGCTACTATTAGATCTTGCACCTTCTGTCTCTAGAACTCGAGCCTAGCCTATGACTTGAGCCTTTTAAGGAAATGAAACAATTTATCCCTTTCAGACATATCCTTTATATCTAGCATCAAAGTTGAGAACTCTTTCACATACTCCCGTATGGTTCCTGTATGAGACAATTCCCTCAACTTCTTATGAGCTTTATAATCTACATTCTCAGGGAGGAAGGAAGTCTTCAAATCCTTCTTCAACTCATCCCAAGTCGTAACAGAGCACACTCCATCTTTGAACTTGGACCGCCACCACCTAGATACATTGAAGTCATCGCCACCTTATCTTCCTCAAACTCGGTGTGCATGGCCCAAAAATACTGCTCCATATCGAACAAAAAATTCTCAAGCTCTTTAGCATCCCTCGCTCTATCAAAATGTTGAGGATCAGGGATCTTAGCTCGTATGCCCCCTCTTTTACTAGGGTTTTTAGTCAAACTAGCTACAGCTGCCTGCAACACACTAACTTGGGCCTTCAGCTCATCATACCCAAGTTGTATGACACTTATGACCTTTCTTGTCTCGTTGCCCAGATCAATTATTGTCTCAACCAAATCCTCTTGAGTATCATCGACTCTCCTCATTTGATCACCATAGATCATATGAGCTCTAAGGGCTGCTAGCGCGACTTCGATATCTTCTAACTTTCCTCGATCAACAGAACCAGTCTCTTGTACAACCGGCTCGGTAACTTCTTGCTCTACACATTTGTGAGAGCTTGTTGATCCACCATTACGTGTGTGAACCATTCTTTTTAATTCATTGGCACCTCTATGCCTGTAAAACAAATAAGCACCATCGTGCCTAAATTAGAAAGAAAAAAGCATCGTTGTGCTGAATTCATAGCACCTATGTGCTTGAATTAACGATTGAGCACCTCTGTGCTTCAATCGAGAAACTGACACCTCTGTGCAGTTAAAAATGACTGAGCACCTCTGCGTTTCAGTCTATAATCTGGCACCTTTGTGCTTTTAATTGATTGAGCACCTTTGTGCTTCAATCTAGGATTTGGCACCTCTGTGCATTTAGGCTGATTGAGCACCTCTGTGCTGCAATCTAAAATCTGGCACCTCTGTACATTTAGGATGATTGAGCACCTCTGTGCTGCAATCTAAAATCAAGCACCTCTGTACTTTTACAAACGATTGAGCACCTCTGTGCTACAATCGATATCTAAGCACATATATGCTAAGTTTAGCAACTGTGCACCGCTGTGCAACAAGTAGACAACAAGCATCAGTGCTTTACGTAACAAAATGAGCACCTCTGTGCCGCTAATAAAAGATCACGCACATCTGTGTTATGATACCAAGTGTCACAGACTTAGCCTAGTTGGTTCGGTTGTTAATCCGTGTGGCACTCGAAAGGGACGCTTCCCAATCAAGTCAGCCTTTATCTCGTATATCTGATCAAAAACAAGCAAACATCATGTTAGATCTTTGTAGCCTCATGGTCATTCGACCAATAATCTGAGACAGTGGGGCATAGCGGATGCACACCCCTGACCTCGGACTTCTCCGAAAGAAAAATGTTTTATTAATAGAAAATAACATCAGGTTACAGAACTCACCCACACCATCGATTAGGCCGTAGGGGTGGCCCTCGATGGTGTTCACAAGACACATACCTTTACATGTGGATTAACCCAAACTCTGTCGGCTGTCCACCCTACATATAGGAGAAAAAATATAGAAATGCTACCTATAGACAATAAAATGCTAGAAATAGGGACTGTAAGTCCTACTCCCATTCCCTACCTTAAACATTAAAATGCTTGAAAAGAGGACAAGCTTATTCTACCCTGCCACTAGGCCCTATACATGGTTGGCCTTGGCGTACCTACCCGGTTGTGGCCCCATAAAAGGGATGGCCACGACAATCAATTCGTCGGAAAATTCTGGTTGAGCAGCGTACGTCAACTAATTCAATATTAAATAAAGGAATAACAACAATTGTGTGTGAAAAAAAATGAAGTAGGTGAGGTGAGAAACGGGGAAGCAAAGGGTATTGAAGAAAGGAATTGTAGTAATTTTTTTTTGTTATTTTAATTAATATTTTAAAGGAATTTGAATAAAAATAGGTTTAATTTATTATTTAAGTTATTAGCATGAGGCTCAAGAAGGAATCCTACAAGAAAATTTCATTTCATGTCATATGTATAGCAAAAATTAAAACTTAAAAATTGTGTGTGCATACTTTTTTTTCTCCATTAAATAATACACTACACCAGGTGATTCTACGATGCAATAGTCTAATATAAGGTTAAGGAAAAATCCGACCTAAAATATTATAAACAACATAATATTTTCGGTTGCGTGCAACCTAAAATTATAATCTTTTAAAATTTTTGATTCAACCGAAAATATTATGAAAAATCAAAAATATTATGAAAAATATAATATTTAAATATTTTTGATTGCAACCTAAAATATTATAAAAAAGTTTGCACCAAAAAAAATAAAACATTTTAGGTCATATTTTTTTAACCTTATATTAAGCTAATAGCTTGCTGCAACGTAAAACTCACCCATTACACTTATAGTTTTCCAAGAAAAATGGGTATGTAACTGCTACCTACCAGGCTTTACGGATCCGCCCCTGCTTGAGCGCCATTCCATTTCGAAAAGCCACAGAGACCAGACAAAGACAAAGAACGCCAGCTTCCAGACTCCTAAGGAACGAGGGTCTACAGGTGTAGACTCTTATAGTAGTAACATTGACGCAAAATTACTAGGCATGACAAAAGGTATGTTCCAACTACAAAACCAGCACTGCCAAAATCTGCACGAAACATCACAATGGCAAAGAAGGTGAGAAATAGTTTCATCAGTTTCCGAGAAAAAAAAAACATAAATAAAAATTAATTCGATTTGAACCTCCCTTTGCTAATTCTACCCTTGTAGAAATTCTATCGTGAATCGTTTTCCACACAAAGGCCTCAACCTTGAGAGAAGCTAGATTTAGCCACACCAGAATCTAAATTTCATTAGACTCGACAAATGTAATGTCCCAAAATTCGGTTAGTAATTTTGGATCTGTAATCGGAATGTAATTTCCAGTAAAATCATGTTTTTGAAATTTAACCTGAAAAATATTTTGAGAATATTAAAATATGATTTTAATAAGGAAACCCAGAGACCTAAATGTTTATGTCCTTGCTACATTTCCTTTGAAAATTCTTAGAAAAGCATTATCACAAGGAGAGATGGCAGCTACTGATACTAAAAAAAAATAGAGATGGATAAAAAAAAAACAGTAGAGATGAAGAAATTCTAAGGAAATCTGGAATTCAAAGAGGCAGCAACTTGTCATTGAGAGGTTTCGTTGGAGAGCTAATGATATAATCCGTGCTGCCTCATTGAATACTGCCATGCAATCACCAATTTCTCTTTTACGTCAAGACAACTATTGTTTAGGTCAATTGTGTTTTCGCCCAAAGGAAGTATTCCAACAACAGCATATATTGTGGACTCATTCCCAGGTCATAAATTCCCTATATGAAATTAAGGTATTAGAGTTACGTTAATACTTTTGCCTGTGCTGCTGCTTTTTCATACAAAGTTTAGATACAAGTTATTATGATTCTTATCTTAAAGTAATATTTGATTTTTTAAAATTTAAACTATGATTCACATTCTAAATAAATTCTCAAACATTTGAACACTTCAATTCAATCCCCAAAATATGATCTCATTCTAAATTGAATCTTTTATTTTTATCCTTCAATTTATTTAAATATGTTTTCAACCAAGTTTAACATAAATTTTATTTTTAACAATATAATAATATTTCTTGGCCTAACAATTTTATTAACGGGGATATCATTAACATATACCAACAGTTTGGAATAAAATTGAAACATCCAAAAGTTTAAGGATCAACTTAAAATGAGGGTCATAATTTGAACGTGTAATTAGAATGTTCAAAATATTAAAAATTAATTTAGAAATGAAATTCATGATTTAAGGATAATTTAAAAATTTGAGACCCATTTAAAATAAAGATCACATTTAAACTTTTGTGATGTAATTAACTCTTTAAATAATTAATATTTGTATTGGATTAAAAGAAGGGAAAATAGAGAGCTGGGAGTTAGTAAAGATGATTGAATATATTTTTTTATTCCCAAAATTTTGAACATATTTCAATAGGTTAGGATTCACTTACACAGTAAATATCTTGTCGTTTTTTATTGTTAATCTCAGTCTCTTATTTTCACTCATCTAAAGTTCTTAAATCAATGTAAAACTAAATCATTTAGGAAGCTTTTTTAGTTTTACACAAATTTAAACTATTGGATGAGTGAAAATTGAAAATAGAAGGATAAGATTAACTTATTGTTTTTTAGTGAATATATTCTCATTTCTTACTGTTAATTTCAATCATTTATTTTTACTCATCTAACGATCCTAAATATACTTGAAACTAAAAACAATTACTCTATGTAAGTGAATGCTATCCCTTATACTAGTAATGATGTTAACTTGAGTAAGATTGAATCTA